TGCTTGTTCCAGATTCAGTGTTTATGTAAAACTTCAGTTTGTTCCCATATGAAAAGGTGCTTTAGTATATCTAGAAAGAAAGAAAAACATGCTTTTTTTCAATAAATATGAAATCTGGGCCGCGACTTTGTCCCAGTTTATAATTTTGGCCCACTGTGTATGTGAGTTTGACTCCCCTGGTCTAATAGTCCATCCAGTGGATGTTTGATAGTCTAAGATGGGTTCTTAATGCTCTAAAAAGGCCCAAGATCATCTTCAGATGGTCCAAGTTGATGTTGTGACAGCCTGAGATGGTTTGTCAATGGTCTAAGATGGACTACGCTGGTCTTTTGAAAGCCCTCCTCTGGTCTAATAGTCCAATCAATAGATGTTTTGATATTCTAAAATGGTCTTTTGATCATTTTAGTTAATCACAAAGGGACTACAATGGTCTTGTAATGGTCTAATCTGGTCTTTAAATGATCCAAGATGATGTGGACCTAGAGAGAGTTTCTTAATGGTTCACTGTTGCAATCAAAGCTTCTTCTTTGAAGAGTCCAACACTCCCAAACTACCAAAGTAAAGTAAAATATGATTTTTTTTTGGTACAAATCAGTGGAGGTCAGCACAGCATCTTACCTATGATTCTCTTGTTATATCCACTCTTTGCTATTTGCTTTTGACTTGGGATCAGTTCTGAACCAGTCTGGAACCAGTCTGGGATCAGTCTGTTAGTTCGCTCTGTATTTGTTACTAAACGTTTCTCACCAGACGTTACCAACATGTCATAATGTGATAGTAAAGTTCTGTCTGTCCTCCATCAGAGCCGTCAACCTCCTCCCCAACCGGGTCATCGGCTGCATCGGGCAGCACGTCGGCGAACCCGTCGAGGAGCTCGCCAAGTCCTGGGACTCCCGCTTCCTGGCCAGCAGCGCCCACGACCAGCTCATCAAGTTCTGGGACATTTCCAGTTTACCCAACACGACCGTCAACGAATACCGCAAGAGGAAGAAGAAAGACGGCCGAATGAAGTCCCTCACCAAGAAAGCCCACGGAGACAACGACTTCTTCTCAGGACTAGTAGAGGAAACAGAGAAGAAGGAGGAAGAAGAGGAGGAGGAGGAGGAGGAGGACAGTGACAGTGGCAGTGATTAAAAAGCAGCTAGTTTCATGTTTGAAATGTGTCGTTGCCGTCGGACATTTTAGTCCCTTATAAGTGACGTTTGTATAATCCAAAGTGATGTGTGGGGTCGTCAGCAGGAACCGAACTGATCTCCACAATGACTCCGTGTTGAACCACCACTGAATGTCGGGATGAGGTTTATATTAAATATATTAAATATGTGGTTGGATGAGCAGCGAGTACTTTCTTTCGTTCACACCGACTGTTGAACACTAAAATAATGTGACGGAAGGACGTACATAATTCAAAAGTTTGCAGTTTGGGGCTGTTTTTATTTAAATTCTTCTTGTGTTTAGAAACATAAATGAACTTTTGTTTTTTGTTTTTTGGAAGAACTTTTCAAAATAGTTTTGGTATCTGTACCGAAACTCCGGTATTGTGTTGGAATAAAAGACAAAGATAAATGTATTTGTATTCAATTAAATTCACCAACATTAAAGCATTTTTTTAAAGATGCACAACTACTGAATTTATTCAACTCGGCATTGTTCAAATGGTTGCAATCTGAAACTTGACCATTAATGGTGCGTTTCATTGGGTTGACCATGTTCTAGTACAACAAGTGGGGAAACTAAGTGCTACTAGTGCAATACTAGTTAATAACAACGTGTTACGCTGTATTTTGCTCATACAAACATGTTCTCATGAGACACAGAAGGCTGAAGTGGTAACAAACAGTATAATTAATACACTTGGGGCAGCCGTCTTGGATTTTGAAGTCGAGTTTGCTTCGTTGCTATAAATAAGTTATATACTGAATATGTAAGTGTGATGTCTGATGCATTGTTCATTTTTATGTTCTCTTTCTCTTTGTTATGTGTATTTGTTTATTGTTGTTGATATAAGTGGGTCATAATGATTATTTTTCATTGTATCGACCACTGACACTGTATATGTGTATATGTGTGTATATATATATATATATACATACATATAAATAAACCACTGACAGTAAATATATATATTTATATATATTATATATATATATTTATATTATATTATATTATATATAATATATTATACGGTCACCAGGTTCCCCGGGCATCCGGCTGCTTCAGTGGGCCTGAAATCGGAGAGCAGAGACGAGCAGGAGCTCCGACGTTTTGACCTTCTACGCATAAATCACTGTTAAATACCAGAAGAATATTTGTTTTTGTTGTGAAAATGTGACATTTAGCAACAGTTTAAAGGGAGTGAAAATCAGCTAATGGATGAGTTAACCCATAAAAAAGCCCTGACTTAATGAAACATCTTTATATAGAATTTTACATAAATACGTCAGACGTTTGCGAACAATAAGCTTTGAGCGCCATTTTATGGTTTAGGTTTGCAGTATATTAACATCACCGCCAACAGGGTGAGCGAACAATACGCCTCAGACTGGGTGATTTAGATGCTTTAGTTGACACCTGGACGCGAAACGAATCACCAAGTTCAAAACCACAAAAGGTACGCACAAATGATCATTCGGGAAGGCGTGCCTGAAAGGCGTCGAGGATTTGAGTGGAGCGGATCATGGAAGACCATAAAGAGGAAGAAGGACTTTCGCAGGACAGGTGTGAGGATGCGTGGCAAAAGTATACTGTGCTTTTTTTCGGTGTAAAGATTCAAGGCAGACGGTGAGTGCTTCAACGAGTAAATGGCCGTAACACCCAGATCGAGGAGTGTGAGCGAGAGCGCGTGCGCTGATCGAGTTTATAGCGAGGCGTTAAGGGAGCGTTAAGTGATATAAAGCCTGGCATGAAGGTCTGAGTTAAGCCTTTATTCGATCCTGCCCCAGGAGCCTGGAACACTTATCCTCTTAAGCAACATGAGTGAAGGCAGTTGAGAAAGCAGGTTCGGTTTACTGGTCAGTGTCTGCAGCTCTAACCCTCCTTTAAACCCGTGTTTACCGTTGTTGTTGGTGTTGCGTTTCGTTGGTTGAGCGTCTTTGGCTTTACAAACACTCCCCTTAGCCCTCTGAAGCTAACCTCCGCGTAGCCTCCGCTGTGATATCCGGCCAGAGAAGTCTGCAGTGCGAGAGCTGTAGCCGCGGCTGCTACTAACGGTCGCCAACGGTCGGCCGAACGGGTCGGCCCAACGCGGCTGCCGACGTCACCGACTACGGAGCGGCCTGAATGCGTAAGCGTCTTCCCCGGCTTCAGCGCGAGCCCCTGCTGGTTTACTAAGATACGCCCTGCGCCGCCAGTTTGCCATGGGGCGCAAACTCGGTTCACGTACGGTTCGCCGTGTTTTCGCCGCCTGCTGTTAGGACTGCTACCACTTGCGTCCAGCTGGGCGGGGGGTGCGACGAGGGTAAATACCGGGTTTTCTGCTACGTAAAAATATTACTTAATATTTAGGCAATGATTTTATGAGATATAAAGAACTTTCTGGTTTTTATGTTAATGCAGGCTTTTTTTTTCTCTTGGTGAACTAATATACAATACAGACTTAAAGGACAGTGTTGGTCTTTATGGGCTGCGCCTTCCGTTTGAATCTGGGAAGGGTTGTACAAATATATAATACTTTATTTAAATTATTTATTGATATTATATATATATATTATTGGATATTATATCATAAG